AAGGACGGGTACAGAGCAAAAATGAACTTGAGGTGAGAAAACTCTTGCAATAATATAGAGGAGAGGTGATGAGGGCTTAAACTAAGATGGTAGCAGTGTGATTATAGAGATGTAATCAAATGCAAAAGATATTGTGGAGGTAGGAATAGCAAGACTTGTCCTCAGGACTTTTGTTATGAGTTCTCTATTCTCTTCTCAGCTCCTATCATTCAACTACCTTCCCACACTATCTCTTCCTTCACCTTTGACTCACACAGGAAGAGTGATCCTTTCTCCTTGACAAGGCAAATCCCTCCATACGTACCCTTGATCCCACTTCGTCCTGTCCTCTGTAGCAGATTGTACTCTCTATCATCCACACCTCTCCTCTGTCTATTAATTCCTTCCCTGCTGCCTTCAAGCATACCTATGGCTCTCCCATCTTAAAAAAGAAAAACAAAACAAAAAACTCATTCTATCTAATCATTCCCTCTAACTGTGATCCTATATCTTTCCTCCCCTTTTTGGCTAAATTCTTTGCGAAAGACGTTATACTATATACCTTTACTTCCACTCCTTTCACTCATTTCTAAATTCTCAGCAATTTGAGTTCCAACTTCAACATTCAATTGAAATTGCCCTTTCTAAAGTTCCAAATGATCTTTTAGTTGTCAGCTTCACTACCTGGCTCAAACCCATCCTTACAACCTCATTGAACATGAGAGTCAGCCAATATGGCTTTCTCTGTTACACACACACACACACACACACACACACACACACACACACACACACACACGAAGAGGAAACTTTTCTGTCATATTAGCCAATCTCATAGGTGTGAGGTGGTACTTGAAAGTTACTTTAATTTGCATTTGTCTAATCTATAGTTCTATAAAGCATTTTTTTCATATGTTCATAGATAACTTTGATTTCTTTGGCTCAAAGCTTCCTGTTCATATTCTTTGGCCATTTATCAATTGGGGAATGACTTATAATTCTTATAAATTTGATTTGGTTCTCTATATTTGAAAAATGAGGCCTTTATCAGAGATACTTGTAAAAATTGCTTCCTTACCTTCTGCTTTCCTTACCTTCTGCTTTCCTTCTATTCTTGGTTAAATTGGTTTTATTTGAGTAATGCTATGATTAATTTTTTTTCTTAACTTTTTTTCCTCCTTAATCTGTTTTCCAAGTAAATTGGTTTTTTTTGTATGAGATATCTTACATTGTATTTTATTTTTTTCAGTCTCTTGATTTTATCTTAATATTTCTTGTTGTTTCTAGTTGGTCCATTCTAATTTTCAGGGAGTTTGTTGCTTTGGTCAAGGTTTTGTGTCTTTTGTGCTAAGCTGTTAATTCCCTTTCTGATTCTTTCTTCCATAACTCTCATTTCTCTTCCAATATTTTTCTCTAGTGCTTTCATTTTATTGATTAATTTTTTAAAAACTTCTTGCTTCATCTCTTCCAGGAATTCTAGTTGAGTTTATGCCCAAGCTGTGTTTTCCTCTGAGTCATTGCTTATAGATATTTTGGAGTCACTCTCTTCTTCTTGGTTTGTGTCTTGAGAATTATTGCTATCATAGTAGTTTTTTAGAGTGTGGGGTTTTTTGTTGTTGTTGTTGTTGTTTTGTTTGTGTTTTTTTTTTTTTACCATTCTTACAGCCTACATACTGACTTTAGACTTGCTGTTAGGGCTGGTCTCTGCCACACTTCTGGAAGGAAGGTCTGGGCTGGTCCTGTTACTACTTTCTTGGGATATTGAAAGATCCAGGATTTCAGTGACAGGTTGGGAACCTGCAAGTTTTCAGTGCTCCCAAAATGGTCTGATCCAAGGCAACATCTGATTGCTGTCCTCCTGCAAGTTTCTGAACTGGGTTTGGGTCTGTGTAAGTGTAGACTGCTGCTAGACTCTACCCCTATAAACCATCTGGAAAGCTCTGTTGGTTCAAAGTGGTAGAATTGTAGACTCCCCTTTGGTCTGATGTTCCTGCCTTGGTTATTCCTTTGCAGGCTTGGATAGATGTAAGAAATGAGACCTTGCTCTAAGTCTGGGGTCTGAGCCAGGCCGCTACTGCTGCTTCTATTGCTGTTGGCTACTGAACTTCCAGTTTTCTCAGTACACTCTGTAGGGTCTCTTCACCTGTGGACATACCTCCATGCACAGGTCTTCTTCTCACTGTACCCTGGATCTATGACTGGAAGCCTGGTAGTGGGTGACAAAGCTGTTAGTTCACACTTGCCCTCATCATAATGATCCATTATGGATCTGGTAGTGCCCTGTTATAGATCCAGAACCTCCTCTTGCTCAGCCTTTCCCTGGACATTGGAGTGCCCCCTACATGGTATGCTCATGGCCTGACCCCATCCACAGTGTCTGAAAATCTCTTTGTCTGAACTGGAGAAATGACTCATTGTGACTTTTTTGTATTTCCTCATCAGAATTCTGTCTAGCACATTTCTAGATCTGTTTGGAGGAATTTATGGAGGGTAGCTCACCACACTGTTTCCTACTGCTCCTCTACCCTGACTCTATCCCACCAATTACCTTTTGAACATCTCAGTCTGGTTGGCTTGTAGGTATCTTAAATCCAACATATTCAAAACAGAACACCTTATCTTTTTATTCCTTCTTTTCAATCTTCCTATTACTGTTGAGAGCATCACCCAGGCTTGAAAGCTTGGAATCCTTCATATGCACCCCATATCCAATGTGTTGACATGTTTTGTCACTATCTTCACAACATTTCCTGTATATGCCCTTTTTCACCATTGCCACCCTCATGCGTTTTCTTGCCACTTTATGCCCAAACTATTGATATTGCCTTCTGATTGGTCAATTTGCCTCAAAGCTTTCACTACTCTATTCTGTTTTCCATTCTCTGACAAAGTAAGTGATTTTGACCATGACCTGACCATGTCATTAGATGAATAAATGCCAGTAGCTCCCTAATATCTCTATAATAAATATAAAACTCTCTGGTTGACACTTAAAACCCTTTATAACTTGGCCCCTTCCTACCTTTCCAGTCTTCTTACATTTTATTCCCTTCTCTGAACTCTCTGATCCAGGCTCAGTGGTCTACTTGCTGTACTTCTCACATGACACACCATCTCCCAACTTTCTGCCTCTTCACTGGCTATTGCTCATATCTGGAGTGCTCATATCTTCCCTCTCACCTTTGCATTCTGAATTCAATACTCAGCTCAAAACCCAATTTCTACAGGCGGTCTTATCTGTAGGACCCCTCCGCTATGCCTAGTGTCTTCCTTCTGATACTATGTTCCATTTACTCTGTCTAATTCTTGTGTGTACAGTTATTTGCATGTTACTTCCCTGATTAGAAGGTGAGCTCTTGAAGACAGGGACCATGTTTTTACTTGTCTTTGTATCCCCAGAATTTATCATAGAGCATGGCACATAGTAAATGCTTAATAAATGTTTGTTGACTGACCGATATATAGGATAATGGAAAGTAAGATGTTGAGAACAACATCAAAGTGATGAACCTGGAAGATTGGAAGAATGGTATTTTGACAGAAACAGGAAATTTTTGAAGAGGGGTGATTTGGGGGAGAAAGATAATGAGTTCTATTTTGGACATGTTGAGTTTGAGATGTCATCTAGGTGAATGGTCATTTCCTTGAGAGTGAGAATGTGTACTCTGTTTCCTTTAGCACCTAACACAGCATCTTAAACATGATAGATGATCAATATATATATGTATATGTATCTATCTATACATACATACAATAAACACTTTAAATGTGCCTTTGTGGTGTTGATTTATTTGATTGAGTGATTTATTATTCTCATCACAGAGACAGAAGAAATGAAAAATGCCGTCAAAAAAAATTTTAGGAGTATATTTGAATGTAGTAGAAAAGTGAGAATCAGGAGATCTGGAATCTAGTCCAGCTCTGTCACTAATTGACCATGTGATTTGGGGGTAAATCACTTCACCAATTACTTGGCAACTAGGTAATAGAAGATTGAGCCTGGAGATAGAAAGATCTGAGTTCTAATATAGCTTCAGACACTTAGCAGTTATATGACCCTGGACAAATCCCTTAATCTCTGTTTGCCTTAGTTTCCTCAACTACAAAATAGAGATAACAGCACCTACCTCATAAGCTTGTTGTGTGGATCAAATGAAATAATATTTGTAAAGTGCTATGCACAATGCCTGGCACACAGTAGGTGCCATACAAATGCTTATTCCCTTGCCCTATTCAATTCCTTTTCATCTCTCTAAGGTTCAGTTTCCTTTTCTATAAAATGAGGTTTTCGGATTAGATGTTTTCTAAGGTCTCTTACACTTCTAATGGTCTGATTCAAAGGTCCAGAGAGTGCTAAGAACTTATGTAGTTCAAGGAGTTAGCAGTCCAAAGGGACAGTTTGTAAAATATAATTTTTTTCTTCTGATTTCTATTGTTTACCATCTTCCATTTTCTTTTTTTTTTCAGTGCCCTCCCTTGACTGAAATGAACTCAAGGTGGCATTGAGAAGGATCATGGAATCTTAGATTATAGATTTGGAGCTAGAAGTGACTTTAAAAGGTCGTCTTAGTCTAACTTGTCATTTTACAAAAGAGGAAACTGAGGCCAGAGAATTAAATTACTTGCTCATGATCACATAGCTTGTAAGTAGCAGACTTGGGATTTGAACTCACGTTTTTTTTTACTTTAAATATGATTGGTTGTGGTTATTAGAATAAATGAGAAAGTATAACCTATTTCCATTACATGCAGCTGGAAAGGAAAAAGCATACCAGGTGTAGTGTCAGAAATTGCTCTAGACGATATCTCTCAGGGGAAATTCATAATATAAAAAGCCTTTATGTATAAAAGTTACAACTTGAGATGTCTCTGGCTGAACTGCAGGTATGGAATTCATCAAACAAGCTTGAGCGGAGTTGGTCTGGAACTCCTTCTAGCCACTCCCCTTAATGAAATGTGACTGGATGACTAACAAATAGGAGGGGTAGTGCGTTGTCTTGTTACACCAGTCTGATCTTTTCTTTACGGAACAATTTGGCCACCACCAAAATTCCAAGCTTTATTCCAGAAATCTGTACATTGTACCAATAATGGCTAAGCAAGACAAGACACTTTATTTGGGAAATGACCATTCAGAGCCAAGCTAAGCTTGGACCCACAGAATGGTTCTGAAAGAAGCATCGGCTAACCTGGTTGTATGGCTTCTCTGTACCTTGATTCCAACTTTGTTCACAGGTAACTTAATAGTTATTTGGGGCCTGAGGATGGGGGTGGGGGTAGGAGGTGGGGAGAAACAGGGAGAAATACCTTTCCTTGGGTTTGAATGCTTGCTTGGAGGTATCCAAAAAAATCTTGTGTCTATGTTTTAAAAATAACAACAACACAAAATACCCCAAAAGGTAAATGCTTTTAATTTAGAATTCTGTCCATCTTCCAACTTTCAGCTAGCAAGATAGAAAGGTAAGAGTGATCAAAGAAGAAGATGCTTGTGACATACATCAGGAGCTCCAAAGGCTGAAGGAATCCTATCAAGTTTTGCTTCTTTTTTTCTTCTTGTTTTCCAGTTTCTAAATCTTAAAATGTATATGCTCTGGAGGCTTCCTTCCATGTGTGCTTCAAGAAGAAGAATTTGTTATGGGTTTATAAATTCTCGCTTCGATATAACCCTACATGGGAAGGGACAACTAGCATGAAACTAGTTCCAAAACTCATAAGAAATTATTTCCTATATAAATTCTAATCTTTTCATAAAAAGCAAGAGGAAAGAATATCACACTTTAAAAAAAGCACTTTTAGATGAAAGAAATTTTCTCAGCCAGCAGAGTTTGCTACAGACTGTCTTGCCATGCTCCAGTTTGCTTGTTACTGCTTGTTTCATTATTCTGAAATCCTAGCCTCAATTGCCTTAGATTCGTTTTCATGTCACAACTTGCTTCAGAGGGGTTTCTTTCTCCAAATCTGCCTTTTAAGTGTTGACTTGAACCTATAACAGTGTATGTTTATTTCTTTTGAAATAAGGACAGTCAGGGTTTGTATGGGACAGTAGTTCAGAAATGGTACCATTTGTAACTTTAGACCATGTTTCTTTTTTTCTGAGAATTTAAATATCATTTTATCCTGCTGTATCCTTATTCAAAATGAACAGTGGCTCTTTGTTGACTGTGACATCCAGGCTAAACTCTCCAGGATCATCCACAATCTGGCCCAGTGCTATATCTAGTCAACCTTATTTATCCAAATGAAATGTCGAACCAGGCTCCTCACAGCTCTGAGCACATGGAGTATTATTTCCCCTTTCTTATCTCTGCTTGTATCACTCATTGCCTAGAATGTTTCCTTACTTCCTTTTTACCCTCTGAATCCTTCATTGCATAGTTCAAGTACATTCTTCTCCATGAAACTTTCTCTGACTGCTTCAGTCTTCACAAATTCTCTGTCTTCTAAACTTCTATAGCAGTTCTGATCTATATGAATAATGTTAAATTCATACATATTATATGCAATATGATATAAATTACATTGTATCGCACACTATTGCTCAGTTGTTCATTCACGTTCAACTCTTTGTGATCTCATGTACCATGCTGTCAGTGGGGTTTTCTTGGCAAAGGTACTGGTTTGCCATTTCCTTCCCTAGTGGGTTAAAGCAAACAGAGGTTAAACAACTTGTCCAGGGTCACATAGCTGGTAAGTGTCTGAGGTTGAATTTGAACTCAGGTCTTCCTGACTCCAGGCCCAGAGCCTTGTGCAGTGAGCCACTTAGCTGCCTCCTTATTGAATGCTAGCTTAGTATTAATAATGCATCGTATTTCTATGGCATTTTAAGTGGCATTTATGCTTATCTCACAGCAATCCTCTGAGGCAGGTAGTACATTATTACCATTACCACACAGAGACTCAGAGAGGGCAAAGGTAAGTCAGACAGGGTCATACATCTAATAAGTGCTAAAATGAAGATTCAAACCCTAGTTTCCTGACTCCAACTAAATTCAGTGCCTTTTCCTTTATTACAGACAAAGTTTCATGTATCTGTTCACCCAGATTATAAACTCCTTCTGGGAACACCTTTATTTCTTTGGTATTTTACACAGAATATATGTTCAATACGTATTTCTTGGTTGGTTGATTTTGTGAAGGAGGACTCAAGAAATATAGTATTAGTGGAGGCAGGAATTCAGTACACACACACACACACACACACACACACATATATATACATGTGTGTATGTATGTATATACATATATGTATATTTAAACACTCTCAGCTTCTTCAATTAGAAAGTTTATAATTTCTGAAACTGTAATAAACCTTTCCTTTAAGCATATGACAATATATAAGCCATGGAACCTAAGACTCATAAATCTGGAAAGGGCACTTGGAGGTCATCTAGTCCAATCCCTCATTTTTTAAGACAAGGAAATGGTTGCCCAAGGTAATGCAGCTAATTAACAGCAGAGATGGACCAAAACTCAGGGCTTTCCACTCTTTCTGTGATACCATGTTTCCTACCAGGGATAAGGCTTTGTAACACTTATCATCTATATCTACATCCTGTTCTGTGAACTCTCTCACCTCATTCAACTTTTTAATGAATCATTGTTTTCTCTTCCCAAATAAAGTACAAATTCCCTGAAGGCAAATGCTCCATCTTCCATTCCTTTAAATGCCCCACAATGGTTAGTCCTTTAAAAACATTAACAAATTATTTTATCTGGCATTAGAGATCCTATGCAGCATTGTACCTCAGTGTTGTCATCATATTTGGTGTTTCGATCATTCATGTTATTGGCTGCCCACTGGCACTATAATTGGTCTTTTGGAGAAATCGAGTACGTTCTAGTTGGTCCATTTCCTTTGGCCCATTGAAGTGCCTACAACTTAAATTTGAACAAAACTTTTGCTTTCAAGATCTTTCCTGATCTGTCTGCCCCTGAAGTGTCACTACTTTGGGGTGCTACACAGATGCTATGAAGCTACTTGACTGAAGAGAATCACTGATGCTGTGGCTATATGCTTTCATATCTGTTCACTAGGGGCCTCAACAATTCTACTAACACTAAATTCTCATAGTATTCATTATCAAAGGACATAGTAAAAACATAGTAAATATATTTTATTATCAATTCATTTACAGTGAATGACTAAGTATGCATTTGTAATAATCCAGGGAAGGCAGAATGGTGCTGTGATTTGGAATTGGAGGACTTGACTTTGTCACTTTACTACCTGGGTGACAGAGAGGATGTCACTTTACATCTCTGACCTTTATGTATAAAGTGAAGAGGTTGAACTTGATGACTTCTAAGTTTCTTTCCACTTCTAAATCTGGGACCTTAAATCCTAGAATGTAAGTAATTTATCATCAGCTTTAGGTCAGCAGAGAAAAATGAGTTTATTTTGGAAGAATTAAAAAGAAGGAAGGAAAACAGGAAGGAAATAAGCATTTTTAAATACCCATTATATGTTAGATCCGGTGCTAAGAACTTTATAAATGTTATCTCATTTGATCTTCATAACAATCTTAGGAGGTAGGTACTATTAGGATCCCCATTTTACAGTTGATAAAACTGAGGCAGACAGAGGTTAAGGGACTTGGCCAGGGTCATACAGCCAGTAAGTGTCTGAAGCTGGATTTGAACTCAGGTCTGCCTGACTGAAGGCCCAGTGCTCTATCTACTGTTGCTGTTATTGTTTAGGATGAGAAGAAAAAGAATTATTAGTGTTAGAGCATCTTTGTGGAGATGATTCCTTCAGAGCCAAGACCACAGGCTACATCCATTTCTTTAAGAATCAGGTAGTTAATATAGGGGATTTTGCAACTTGTTTAAAGAGAAATTGTGATATATTTATTCACAGTATTGATAAAAATGACAGATTAGAGTTTGATTAGGAAATGTAAGTACAAAATAAAATTACCCAGGAAAGTCATAATAAGAGTGAAATAAGAAGAACTAAGTCAGGTTCAAAAGAAAAATGGAATGGTTGGTGTAGTCATAATAAGACCCGTCTAACTGAATTCAGGGAGCTACCTGTTCAGAGTAAGGCGGTAGTGTGGTTTTGGAAAACAGTGTGGTATAGAGGAAAGGCCGTTGAATTTTGAAATCAGCAGACTTGAGTTTAAAATGAGAGACTGTAATATTTATTAGTTGTAAGACTATAGGTATATCGCCTTTCTAAATCTATTTTCTCATACATAAAATGGGGATAAGACTTTTGCTACCTATATACATATATCACAAGCTTTTTTGTGAGGAAATTATTTCTAAACCGTTAGCACTTTATAAATGAGAGTTATAATGATTTTCAGTGTAATTTGTGTTTAGACCTTTCCTCTGACATGACAGATTGAGTTAAGTTTTGGGGGACAGTGGTGGTAAATGTTTGACAACTGGCTCTCTGAAAAAAATGTACATGTGACACACTTTTAAATGTAATCTGCTTATATAATTTTCTCCATCATTTTCTTGAGTGTAGATAATCAACAGCAGCAAAAGTCAAGCCCTGATTTGTAGTTTCCTGTTTTCTGAGGTGTAAATGCTCACACTGAAAAATTTAACAATCAGTTCAAGTCCTTAGGAGATGGCATCAGCACATTCCTGTTTGATCTCTCTAATAATCTCCATGGCTCACGTCTCAGTGTAAGTCTCCTTTGGGAACATCATACTGTGACTTGTGTCTCTGAAAGGGTTCTTGGTTTCCCTGCAATCACTCAAGCTAACAAATGCATTCAATGTAATAGAAAGGGGCCATTTCAGACAGCAAGGAACACAGAAAGGACTCCTCTTTGAGTACTTCAAGCAATTGGGCAAGTCCTTGCTGGGGAGCACCACATTCCTCCCCACAGGTTTGGTTACAAATGCACAGCCACTTAATGCAGTTCTTGCATCATGAGTGGAATCATAGATCTTAAGATAATGCAGCATTCTGTTTTATGCCTCTTTTCAACTTCTGTTGGGTCTGTATGACCCTGGTCAGCCACTAGCAGCTCCCACACTCTTGTTTGTGTTTTTCAATATGCCATGGGAAGTCAGGCACAGTTCCTTGGATTTGGTCTGTGCCCAACCTTGCTCCAACACTTTCTTGGCATAGCTGTGGCAATCTGCTCAGCATGGCCCCTGACTTGGAATGCTCGCCTTCTTCAATGCTTTTTTGTTCTTGCATTGAGTTCTAGGCAGCTAGATGGCACAATAGATAGAATGCCAGGCCTGGCTTCAGGAAGACTCATCTTTCTGAGTTCAAATCTGAACTCAGACACTTACTAGCTGTGTGACCTTGGACAAGTCACTTGTTTGCCTCAGCTTCCTCATCTGTAAAATGAGCTGGAGAAGGAAATGACAAAAGACTCTGTTTGCCAAGAAAACCCCAAATGAGGTCGTGAAGAGTTGAACATGACTCAAAAATGACTGAACAAAAGTTCTGAGTTAAAAAAAAAAGGCAATATGGGAGAAAGGAAAGCACAGAACTTGAAACAGATGAAAGGAATAGAAAGAGAAGGGTTAAGAAGCAAAACACAAGAGGAAGCCCTGGGGGACTAACTAAATTCTGACAAATTTGGGTAAAACACAACTGAAATTTGAAGCATGTATTACAAATCACATGAGGACACAGAAAGCTAGAAGCAATAGCCAACAGGATTCTGAAATAAGGTGAACTAAATGGGATTTGAGTATAAGAAATGAGGCTGATTATAAAGAGGAAAATATTTTGTACATATGAAGGAATCAATTGAAAGACCTTATTAGTAAGGGAAGTGAATCATATTGGAATGGGATTTTTTTAAACAACCAAAATTTGGGCAGTTGAAATATTAGACATCAGCCTGGGATGATGTATTGCTTGCACTGTAAACTATGGAGGGGCGAAGATCAGATTTATAAATGAAAGAAAGAAATCTGAAAGTGAAAGTAAAGACTTGGTGACTTTAACGCATAGCATATACCAAAAGGTAGTCATAGAGTTTAGAGCTGGAAGAGACACTGGAAATCATTTAGTCCAATCTCATTATTATTAACTGCTATTATTAATAATATACATAATTTTATTAAATGAAATTTATTAATATATGTTAATTAAGAATAGTAATAGCTGACATTTACATAGCTCTGTAAGGTTTATTCTTTACAAATATTTTATCCTCATCACAACACTAGGAGGTAGGTGCTATTATTATTCCATTTTATAGATGAGGAAATTGAGGAAGACAGAAGTGAAATGCTTTGCCCAGGGCCACAGCTATTAAATGTTTGAGGCCTGATTTGAACTCAGGTTTTCCTGACTCCAGCCCTGGTGCTCCTATCTACTGTGTCATCTAGATAGACTCTAGGCAGATTTTTACGATTTTTACAGAGGAAATTGAGGCTCAGAAAGGGAAAACCCCCCAACAACTTGCACAAGCCAACAGATATTGCTAATACCAGATTCAGGATTTGAACTCAGAGCTTTTGATTCCAAATGCAGTACTTTTTTTTTTATGACACATTGTTCTTGAAGTGGGAGAGGGTTTTAATAGCATTTCATGGAAAGGATATTAAGGTGGAAGAAAATGACCTGTGAGGTCAAATTATTGGAATGTTTGTTAGCATAAAGGATCAAAGGCCACATATTTGGATAGATATGGTGACACAATGTTAGGACTAGAAAAAACTGAGTTCCATAGAGGAGAAGTAACAGAACCTGTGCTAGAACTGAAATCTCCTAAATCCAAGATACTGGTCTTTCCCATTTTGACGAAAGTGTAGTTCTCAAGAAGGAAATTCTGAAGATACAGATAGAAACAACTCCAATGAGAAAGAATAGGGAGACTTACAAGAAATCATTGACCGACTCAGGTTTAAAAACCGAATCGACAGAAGTTGGAAATAAGGGCAGGGAACCAAGTATGAATGCAGAAAGGTGACCTGCTCCTGTCAGGGTCCCTAGAGCTCAGAATGAGCTTAGATTAATGGTGATGGCTACTTTGGGTATGCACTATCCAAAAGGATTTTGAAAAAAGCTGTTCTAGGGTTAAGGGGAAGACCAAAGAAGTGATAAGGCTACTCTTTGGGAATGTATGACATGATAATGACAAATAATGTTGAAAAGACTGAACTTCTCCATTCCTATTTTTATTCTTTTTCCCTCTGCCAGAAAGCATGGTCTTTGAATTGGGAGAGAGAGAACAAAAATACTAGCACAGAGTTGTAACTCAAGACAAATGAGAAAGGGAGAGAGGACCTAGCTATCATTGATGTGTGTTCATGTCTCCAATCCTGGATTAATTATGTCTTAAGTACTGAAAGAATTGGCTGATGTCATTACTAAGCCACTGTCTACAGTCTTGAAAAGACTGCAGATAATGGGAAAGAAGTCAGAGGACTAGAAAAAGTCAAATGTTCTGTTTAAAAAAAATAAAAAGGAAAAGAGTAGAGTCTATGAACTATAGAACAATGAGCTGGACTTTGATTCCTGGCAAAATTCTAGACCTTTAAAATTAAAAAAAATTATTGATGTATTTTACTTTTTCCATAATTTCCATTTCTGAATGTCTCCTCTAGTCTTACCCATTGAGCTCTTCCTTCTTACAAATAAAAAGAACAAAGAAAAAAAGCAATTCAGTAATACCAAACAATCTTAATTGTGTCTGACAATATATACAATATTTCACAAGCATAGTCTTCTACTTTTGCAAAAAAGGAAGGGAATTATACTCTCTTAGCTCTTTTCTGGGGTCAAGTTTGGTCAGCATTCAGTTTTTTTTGTTGTTCTGTTTACAATTGTAGTTATTATGTGTAGCAACTTCTTGGTTCTGTGTATTTCACTCTTTATGAATTCATATTAATCTTCATATGCTTTTCTGAATTCTTTATAGTTGTCATTTCTCAAAACACAGTAATAGTCAATTACATTCAATTAAAACAATTTATTTAGTAATTCCCAAACCAATGGGTACCTACTTTATTTCTAGGTCTTTGTTATTACAAAAATGCTACTATAAATATTAGTGTATGTGGGACTTTTATCTCTGTCTTTGACCTTCGAGGGGTAAATGCCTAGCAGTGGCATCTCTGGGTCAAAGGGTACGTACATTTTAGTTATTTAAAAATATACACACATTATTTGTCAGATCTATAGATAAAGGAAGAATTTAGGACCAAAAAAAATACAGAGAGTATTACAAAATGTAAAATAGATAATTATGATTACAAAAGGCCCCCCAACCAAACAAACAGGTTTTGCACCAACAAAATCAATGCAACCAAAATTAAAAGGAAAGCAGAAAATAGGAAAAAAAAATTTGCAGCAAGTATTTTTGATACAGGCCTAATTCCTGAAATACATAGACAGCTAATCAAATTTATAAATATACAAGTCATTCCCCAATTGAAAAATGGTCAAAGGATGTGAACAGGCAGTTTCCAGACAAAGAAATCAAAGCTACCTATAGTCATATGAAAAAATGCTCTAAATCACTATGGGTTAGAGAAAAGCAAACAGGGAAAAGGACCTATTTGTACAAAAATGTTTATAGCAACTCTTTTTGTGGTGGCTAAGAATTAGACATCAAAGGAGTGCCCATCAATTGGGGAATGGCTAAACAAGCTGTGGTATATGATTGTGATGGAAAATCATTGTGCTATAGTAAATGACAAGCAGGATGATTTTAGAAAAACCTGGAAAGACTTATATGAACTGATGCAAAGTAAAGAGAGCAGAACCAGGAGAAATCCTGGCCTCTTGGTTCAGGTCACTCATTACCAGTTCATTCATTGTCTACAGATTGTTGTAGGGGCAGATGATGCATTGGATAGAGTGCCAGGCCTGAAGTCAGGAAGACTCATCTTCCTCTGGCCTCAGACACTTACTAGCTGTGTGGCCCTGGGCAAGTCACTTAACCCTGTTTGCCTCAGTTTCCTCATCTGTAGAATGAGCTGGAGAAGGAAAGGGCAAATCACTTCAGTATCTTTGCCAAGAAAACTCCAAATGCAGTCACGAAGAGACAGACACGACTGAACAAGAAGATAGGGAGATGATTTAAATGTGCTTTAGAGATTGTTTCTGGCCCAGAGAGTCCGTGACTCTATGTTTAGACATACTTTGAATTCTTCGTATTTAGTTAAATCCTGGTAAATCATAGGATGTAGAACCTCAAGGGCTCTTTGAGATGATGTAATCCAAACCTCTTATTTTACAAATATGGAAATGGAGGCTAAAAGAGGCTTACCCAAAGTCATATAGCAAGAAGCAAAGTCAGGATCTGAATCCAGGTCATCTGACATTAAATCTAGGGCTCTAAACATATCTCTGTCTGTCTGCCAATCCTAGATGAAGCTGTCCATCTGCCAGCCCCTCCAGACCTTTCTGTACATTCTACTAACATGAAGCACATCTTGACTTGGAGCCCAGTGACAATCCCTGGAGAAACGGTGAATTATTCAGTTGAGTACCAGGGGTAAGTTGTTGTTTTTTGATCGATGTTTTTCCTTTAGAAATCACTTAGATGAGGGGCAGCTAAATGGCACAGTGAATAGAGCACCAGCCCTGGAGTCAGGAGGACTTGGCCTCAGATGCTTTACACTAGCTGTGTGTCCCTAGACAAGTCACTTAACCCTCATTGCCTCACTGAAAAAAAACATCACTTAGATGGTATCTTTCTCCCTATGAAGACCTTTGCAACACATTATGCCCCACACTCTCTCCTGGAGTTTTGGAAGCACCTTGACATAGTGGGAAAACCCACCACAAAACATTGAATTTATACTTAGAAGATGTATGTTTTAATCTTGCCTCTGTAACTCACTACATGTGCAAGTCACTTAACTACACTGGGTCTTAGTTTTCTCAATGGTAAAATGAGGGGCTAGATTAGATGACCTTTGAAGTACCTAGGGGACTAGGTGGCACAGTGGATAGAGTGCTGGGCCTGGAGTCAGGAAGACCTGAGTTCAAATCCAGCCTTAGATTCTTTGTGACCCTGGGCAAGTCACTTAACCCTGTTTGCCTCAGTTTCCTTACCTGTAAAATGACCTGGAGAAGGAAATGGCAAACTGCTTCATTATCTTTGCTAAGAAAACCCAGAATGGTTTGATGAAGAGTCAGACATGACTGAACAAGAGTGACAACAAAGTCCCTCAAGTTTTTAGATCCATGACTCTTTCTTTTAAATTTTTAAAATTTATTTTGATTTATCAACAATCACTTCCATATGCTTTTGAGTTTAAAATTTTTCTCCCCCTTCTTCCCCACCACCCTCCCCAAGACGGCTCACAATCTCATATAGGCTATACATTTACATTCCTATTAAACATATTTTCATATTAGTGAAGTGGTAAGTAAAAATTAAAACCAATAGGAGGACCATTAGAAAGAGGAACCAAAACTCAACAAAAGAGAAAAAAAAATGATAACGATTGAACTTCCACAGTTCTTTCTTTGGATGTGGATAGCATTTTCCATCATGAAGCCTCTGAGGATGTCTTAGATCCTTGTATTGCTGAGAAGGGTTAAGTTTATCAATATTAGTCATCGCACAACGTGGCTGTTATTGTGTACAAAGTTCTCTTGGTTCTGCTCACTTTACTCAGCATCAGACCATAGAAGTCTTTCCAGGTTTTTCTGAAGTCAGCCTGTTTATCACTTCTTATAGTACAATAGTATTCCATTACATTCATATACCACAACTTGCTCAGCTATTCCCCAATTGATGGGCATCCTCTCAATTTCCAATTCTTTGCCACCACAAAAAGAGCTGCTATGAATATTTTTGTACATGTGGGTCCTTTTCCCATTTGTATGATCTCTTTGGGATATAGCCCTAGAAGTGCTATTGCTGGGTCAAAGGGTATGCACATTTTTATAGCCCTTTGGGCATAGTTCCAAGTTGTTCTCCAAAACGGTTGTAGATCCATGATTCTATGGCATTTGCAGTCTACCTTGTTCTCAGTATGGGCAACCTTAGCCCTGTAGCTTTTGAACATTGACAGACTGACATCAGCAGAGCAAGGGAAGGGATGATAAATCTACTCCGTGTAAATATGAGGTTTCAGATTTAGTTTGGGCTCATTGGCTGAAAACTCGGTGTTAGTTTGAAGGCACCTGGATAGCCTGATAACAGATAGAGATAAATCTTATCTCTGCCTTCTCTGATGCCTTATTTAGCTTTTTGTTGCAATTTATGCCTTTCGGGGAGTTCTAGGTGTGTGCCGGGCATTCACTCAGTGATTGCCTGATTTGTGAATATTCTCTTGGTATTTGTTGTTCATTTTTCAGGTGAGTCCAAATCTTCATGACCCCATTTAGAGTTTTCTTGGCAAAGATACTTAAGTGGTTTGCCATTTCCTTCTCCAGCTCATTTTACAGATGAGGAAACTGAGGCAAACAAGGTTAACTGACTTGCTCAGGGTCACACAGCTAGTAAGCAGCTGAGGTTGGATTTGAACTCAGGTCTTCTTGACTCCAGGCCCAGCACTCTATCCACTGGGCCACCTTGCTGTCCCTCTGTTGATATAGTGATACAGATATCAAAGGAGAAAGTAGAAGTAGCTGAGGAGAGGTGATGCCCCTGGTTAGTTACGGGCATTTCATTTATTAAAAAACAGTTATTAAATGCTTACAATACCAAGCATTGTGCTAAGTACTTGGATTGCAATGAAGACAAAGGCACAGCAGTCTCATCCATTAAGGAACTCTCCTGATCTAAAGTAGGAGACAATTGCAATTAACAAGATAATAATCAGTAATAATAATGATAATAACTAGCATTTATACAGCACCTATTATGTACCAGGTACTGTGATAGGATATCTAGAGAGGAGATGGAAAGTAACCAGAAAGGGAAAAAGACATGAGCGTCTGGGAGGACTAAGAAAGGCAGGTCTCATGAAAACTGCGTAGATTAGTGAAAATGGTGGGTTCTCACATCATACCTATGAGACTGGCCAACTTACAAAACAGGAAAATGATAAATGTTGGAGAAGATGTGGAACATTGGAACACTAATGCATTATTGGTGGAGTTGTGAAATGATCCAACCATTTTAGAGAGCAATTTGGAACTATGCCCAAAGGGCTATAAAAATGTGAATACTCTATGACCCAGCAATAGCACTTCTAGGGCTGTATTCCAAAGAGATCATACAAATGGGAAAAGGACCCACATGTACAAAAATATTTACAGCAGCTCTTTTTGTGGTGGCAAAGAATTGGAAATTGGGGAATGGCTGAACGAGTTGTGGTATATGAATGTAATGGAATGCTATTGTGCTATAAGAAATGATGAGCAGGCTGACTTCGGTAAAACCTGGAAAGACTTGTATGGTCTGATGCTGAGTGAAGTGAGCAGAACCAGGAGAACGTTGTACACGATAACAACCACATTGTGTGATGACTAATATTGATAGACATAACCCTTCTTAGCAATACAAGGATCTAAGACATCTCCAAAGGCCTTGTGATGGAAAATGCTATCTATATCCAAAGAAAGAACTATAGAGTTTGAATACAGATCAAAGCATACTATTTGCTATTTTTTTTTCTTCTGTTGTGTTTTGTTTCCTCTTTCTGATGGTTCCTTCTATTGGTTCTAATTCTTCCTTACAACATCACTAATGTGAAAATAGGTTTAATAAGAATGTATGTGTATAGCCTATATCAGATTAGGTGCCATCTTGGGGAGGGAGAGGGAGAAAAATTTAAAACTCAAAAGTTTATGGAAGTGATTGTTGATAATTCAAAATAAATTAATTTAAAAAAAAATAAAATGGTGGGTTCTGATGATTTTTTCCCAGATCTCAGATAACATGTTGTGTCTTATTAATAAATCTTACTGCATGCTTTTCTATCTTTTACTCAGGGAATATGAAAGATATTATACTAGTTCCACCTGGATCCCCAGCAGTTGGTGTTCTTCCATTAGTACCCCAGAATGTAATGTTACAGATGACATCACGGCCACTGTAGCTTATAACTTTCGAGTCAAGGCAATACTGGGCTCTCAGAGTTCATCCTGGAGCACCCTGAAAGAGCTTTTCAATCGCAACTCAAGTAAGTAAATTCTTTTCATTAATTTGTTCCATCTTTCATCTATTTATTTACCATTTATCTTCATCATCATCATCATGGTTATCTATCTATGATCGATCTACCTTAATCTATCTATTTCACCTTGGAGCTTCAGCAATGGTGCCCACAGATTCTCTAGTCATAGCTTCCAAAGCTTGGGGGTAGTAAAAGAAAAATACATAATACATGTATTATACATGTATTGCTAATCCATGCCCTGGAGCCCATGCAATCCTGCCTGGTGAGTACCTTACCTAGTCAAATATATCCATCTATGGGGACAGCTAGGTGGTGCAGTGGATAGAGCACTGGCCTTGAAGTCAGGAGGACCTGAGTTCAAATCTGGCCTCAGACCAAACACTTGACACACTTACTAGTTGTGTGACCCTGGGCAAGTCACTTAATCCCAATTGCCCCAAAACAACAAAAAAAAACAACAAAACCCCCAAATATATCCATCTATGCTTCACTATATCTCTCTCCTCTCCATATTCTCACTGGCTTCCTCTCCTGGCTCTGGAACCATAATCTTATTAATGATGCCATTACTGGCAAGGCTGCATCATTTTTCTCCCTTATGGCTCCTCTCACTATCTCTGTGGCATTCTTTATAAACCAAAGTACCTTTCCCTCACCACCCCTCTCTTATTGGGGTTATCTCCTATTAAAATCTAAGCCTCTTGAGCTTAGGAGCTATCTTATTTTTATACTTTGGATTTGTACCCGCTGTGCTTAGCAAAGTGCGTGGCACATAATAAGTTCATTCATTCATTCACAAATTAATTCTTTCAATTGTATTCCTCTCACCCTTTCTCATTAATATATAACAACTTCTGAAACCACTTCTGAAGAGTTACTGGTACTCTCCTCATCCTGGCAAGTACTAGATGCTTAATGCATGTTTGTCAATTGACTGAAATGAGATAATAGATGTATAATGGCTCTTCTGGCAAGGTTGAACTGTCTGACTCTTACGGAGCTTAAGTGGTTTAAGACCTGGGAAGATGTACTTATTTCCTTTTTTTTCTTTTCTTTTTTTTTTTTTTGGTGAGGCAGTCGGGGTTAAGTGACTTTCCCAGAGTCACACAGCTAGTGAGTATTATGTGTCTGAGGCAGGAATTGGTCTCACATCCTCCTGACTCCAGGGCAGGTGCTCTATCCACTGCACCACCTATCTGCCTTAAATGTACTTGTTTCAGTTGAGAAGAGAGGACTCTCTTCAAGAGGATCTGGACTGGGGGCAACTAGATGGTGGAATGGTTAGATAACTGCCCCTGGAGTCAGGAGGACCAGAGTACAAATCCAGCCTCAAACACTTAATAGCAGTGAGACCCTAGACAAGTCACTTAACCCCAATTGCTGAGAGAGAGAGAGAGAGAGAGAGAGAGAGAGAGAGAGAGAGAGAGAAAGAAAGAAAAAGTTCAATTGGATTGCAGAACTTCAAGTACAGTAGGTGTTTGAAAAAGTCTGGAGAGGGAGGAAAGGAGAGTTGGGAGAGGGAGCTGTTAGGTATATATAGCTATTAGGTTAAAGGTAGTGGTAGCTGGTTAACTGTTGGGATACTGAATACCCTTAGCAGTTGGAGCCTCTCCCTGGGGTGCACTGGAGCCCCCTCTCACGGGCTCCCTTTATTGTCAGATTTTTAATTACCACCTTCAGAAATGAGCAAATTCTACAAATCATTTTTAAAAATTATTTTGTTGATTGCCTAGACTTAAGAAAGTGACAGAGAAATTGTTAATAATGCACATTAAACTTAAAAGTCTTTCCTCATACTTTTTTTTTCTTCTGGAAAGCCACTGTTAGATATGTACTAGCATACCACTGTTTGCAGCTAAATTTATTAGGAAAATTGAGCAGAGTGACTGACACCTGACTTGAAGGAGAAACCACTGTCCCAGATGCTTCTCTATGAATCTGCTCTGCTCTCCTTTTTTCCTACTGTTTTATTACTCAAAACAATAAGTGATAAGATTATTTTCTGAGTTGCTTTTACATTCAAACTTTTGCCTACTCGTTCTTTTCTTTTTTTAACGAAAATTCAAAGGTCAGATAAAAGATAAGTTTAGTAGCTTCTTGAATTTTTGTTTTGCTAGAGAAAATGTGAGAGAGAAAGAAAACCTGTGTGTATTTGATTGCTAAATTCAACTGAGGGGTCAACATCCAGGCTTGGCAATCATAGCTTGCTGGAGGGCTTGAAGAATCTTATGAATCCTATTTGCATTTTAAAGTTTTGTGGAGAAAGGAAGGCCCTTAGAACTGGGACCTCCTCTGTAGACTAAAACCCTCTGAAACTAATATTATTTCCAAACTTTGTGCCAGGGGCTTTTTCTGCACCTCCTTCTCAACCAGAGAGGGATGGGGTGGAGAAAGGGAGCAGAGATTTCAAGGTGAGCTGGTCATAGTGACCTGAGTTGGGCAACAGATACAATGTTGAATTACCTTAAAGTATTGTCAGAATGTAGGCTATTCATTCTGGAAAGAATTAAAGAAGGGCCAAGAGGCAACCCAACAAATCTAGACTAAATCTTTTTTGTATAGCTGGAGGTAGTGTTTTAATATCTGTTAGCAAAAACAATACAAAAACTTCACATAATTAGAGTCATTAAAAATGCCTGTCCTCTGAGAGAGCCTTTAAGACAAATAAACTTTGTTTTTCTTTGATGCAAAGGTAAATAAAAGATATTTAAGATAGGGACTATTGTGTATTCACACCCTAACCATCTAGTCAACCCTTTTTAAAAAAAATTTATTAATTTATTTTGATTTATCAACAATCACTTCCATATGCTTTTGAGTTGAAAATTTTTCTCCCCCTTCCTCCCCCCCCCCAAGACAGCAAACAATCTGATATAGGCTTTACATTTACATTCCTATTAAACATATTTTCACATTAGTGAAGTGGTAAGTAAAAATTAAAACCAATAGGATAGCCAACCCCTTTTCCCTTCTGTTAGGCCTCCACCTCCCCTAGGTACCTATCCTGGGATTTCTTGGGGTTGATAGAGACTTGGAGTCGATATGGACCTGCATTGTCTGTATGACTCCTAAGATCTGTAAAACGCAAAGTTTAAGTTGGCTCTTCTTCATGATAGCGCTGTCCCTTGGTGCTCCTTGGTTGTAGCTCCTGTGATGTCTAGCCAGCTTTATCTAGGAATTCCTCTGTTGCCCTAAAAATTTGCCAGTGGGTTTAGGCATTTCTCTGCTGATCTACTTCTGCTAATGGCTACTGCACTGTGGCTTTCTTATTACCATCTCTGGGATCTCAGACATGCACAGGCTTCCACTCCAGGGAACTCGGCCATCATCTCTCTAAACAGCTTTTCAGTCTTTGCATCTCTACCAGCTCTGATTCTCTCTATCTGTTTCTGCTCTCCCTTAAATTTTTTTTTCAATTAACAAGCCTCTTCTCCTCTCCCTTTTCCCCAATGAGAGAGAGAGAGAGAGAGAAACAAAACTCATAACAAATATGGATATTCAGGCAAAGCAAAATATATATAGCCCAGTTATTTTTGAATTGGCTATCAATCAATCAGTCATTATCAATATAGTATTAAAGGGTCAATGGGTCTATACCACCTTCTGTGAGTTCATACTTTACTAATGAGCTAATTTTGTTAAGATACAAGAGGTATGAAGACACTCCTCCCAGGCACATGCTCTACATATGTAACCTTCACTATTACCACTAAGGACATTGTACACTGATATTTCCTGGGAAATTAAACCTGTCTGGATTCATTCCTTTTCTCCCACCCTTCCAAAAAACTTAAAATTGTTCCTGGAGGAGGGAAAACTATCACTCACTCTTTGTTTTAAATTTCCACAGCTGTCCTCACCTCTCCCAGAATGAAAATTAGCAAGGATGGATATCATCTAATAGTGGAATTTGAGGACATGGGGCCATATTTTGAATTCAATGTTACTTATTGGAAGAAGAGCCCCAATTCTCAGGTAAGACTTACTATATTTGACCTAAGGAAGGCCTTTGCCATTCTGCTCAGTTTGACATTCTCTGTTTCTACCAATATCTTAGGAAATCGGTCCTATTTGAAAGGGAGCAGACCTGGAACAAGACCTGTTCTGGAGGGTTTTACCTCATTCATGCAGCTCATCAGGACAGGAGATAGTCTTCTTGTCTTTGAGTCCTAAAGTCTGTGGAATCACTCAGAGCTGAGTTCAAGATGTGGCCTCAGACACTTACTAGCTTTGTGACTTGGAATAAGTTGCTTGACTTCTGTTTGCTTCAATTTCCTCATCTGTAAAATGGGGATAACGATAACACTTGTTTAGTCATGTTCAACACTTCCTGACCCCATTTGGGTTTTTCTTGGCAAGGATATCAGAGTGGTTTGCCATTTCCGTATCCTGCTCATTTTACAGATGAGGAAACTGAGGCAAATAGGGTTAACTGACTTGTCTAGGGTCAAGGTCATATAGCTAGTAAGTATCTGAGGCCAGATTTGAACTCAGGAAGATGAGTGTCCTGACTTCTGGCCCACCACTGCATCCACTGTGCCACCTAGTTACCCAAATAATAGCACCTACCTCTCAGAATTGTTTTGAGGATAAAATGGCATAATGTTTGTAAAGTGCTTTGCAAACAAACCTCAAAGTACTATATGAATTCTATTATTATTATTATTGTTATTATTATTACCACCATCATCATTTGCAATGGGCTGGGGATGGTGCTAATGCAACATGATAAGGCAGACTCTGATAGATGACCCCACAAGATACTCTTCAGGTATTAAAAAAAACCCAACAACAACAACCCAGAAGCAATAATAATAAACAACAAACTGCAAACCAGGCCTTCAGTATGCTGAGTAGCTCTTACTGAGCATTCATAGTAAAACATGGACAGAGGTTATGTAGGATGACAAGATGTAGAGAAGACCAAATCAATGAAATCTTAAATCATTCAAAATGAAAAAAAACTCAAGACAAAAGGGTATATTGGCTCAGAGACTGAATATGCCTCTGTATTAAAAGTTTTGAAATCCATTACTCTGTGAAGGGCTGCTGGAGAGGTTGGTCCTTGGCCAGAAGAATGAATTTTTGAGCATATCATTTCTTTAAGGCAAGATATTACTGGCACTCTCGGACACAGTGTACCTTGATCTATGCTACTGCTTGGTTTGCCAGGACCTTAGGCTGACCCCTTCCGTGAGGTATATTTTTGTGAGGTCCCCTTTGCCTAGCTGGCAGCACGCAGTGCAAAAAAAAAAATGAATGAAATGAATATTTGTAGAAATTGAAGTGTAGCATTTATTACTGGAGTGGTCTAGCCTTTCAATTAGGGATCTATTTTTGGTCAATAGAGTCAGCACAAAATCTCTTGGGATTGTGAAGAGGGGAGGAATGACACTGTCTCATCCTTAACTACCAGCTGCTGTTGAACTCTGCCATTTCTTGATCTAGTTTTTTATTATTCATTGGTTTTACTTTGCAGTGACTGTGCCCTAACAAGTTGTGTACATGGTAAAACACTTCCCAATCTTTGTCATCTTATTGAAATTGGCTTATAAATGCCTCGATCTGCCAACGTGTACCTGGAGGTGGGGCATCTATACCCACAGGTGAAAACTGATATAGGGCGTATGCTGGGGAAAAGGTGGGAAAACAAGCAGGCCTTTAGAAAACAGATCTTATTATGATAATTAAGATACTAAAGGGAGAGAAGCTTAGCATTGCAACTTGACTGTCTACTAGAGTGCTAAAATTGGGTTACAGATTACCAACTCTGAGAGAAGTCCTAAATGTGTGTATTGGGGGGGTTCTGACTTGGGAGGGTCAGACACTGACTGGGGGAACCAGTAAGCCAGGCCAGGAGAAGCCCCTGTAGGAGGGATGAAGCCAAAAAATGAAGAGAAAACCTAGCTTGCTGAAAATGGCTGGTCTTAAGTACTCACTGTTACAATCTGGCACGTGAATGAGTTGGTCAGAACCCCATGAGGGTATTGGTAATGTGAATTACATGTTTCAGGAAATGTGTGATGAGAACACATGCAAGCAATCTACATTTCTTTGAAACAGAGCTCTTCCTGGATGGGAAGTCCCATAACCCTTTCTTCCTCAGCCTAGTGTAATAGATAGAACATTGGACTTCAGGTCAGGAAGGTTTGTATTTCAGTCTTGTCTCAGATACTTTCTACCTCTATGACTCATGGCAAGACTCTTAGCTTTTCTATAAGATGAGAGGGTTGTATTAAATGGTCTCTAAGGTCCTTTTCTTTTTTGTGAGGCAATTGGGGTTAAGTGACTTGCCCAAGGTCACACAGCTAGTAAATCTAAATGTCAAGTGTCTGAGGCCAGACTTGAACTCAGGTCCTCCTGACTCCAAGGCCAGAGCTCTATCCACGACACCACCTAGCTGCCCCTCTAAGGTCCTTTATACTTGGAAATCTAGCATCCTTTCCATCACCTTCCTTCCCTTGGCTCTCTTTTTCACGTGAACTATATATTAGTAAGCATTTATTAAGTGTCTACTATGTGCCAGGTATTATGCTAAACTCTAGGTATACAAAAAGAGGCAAAAGACAGTCCCTACCCTCAAGGAGCTTACAATCTTAAGGGGTAATGGAGGGGATGGGAAGAGAAAACAAACATTTATTGAAGGCTTTACTTTGTGCCAGGCATTGTGCTAAGCACTTTGCAAATACTGTCTCATTTGATCCTCAGAACAGCCCTGTGAAGCAGGTGCTGTTATATTTATATTATATATTTATAAGTGAGGAAACTGAGGCACACAGTTTAATTGACTTATCTAAGATCACACAGCTAGGAAATGCCTGAGGCCAAATTTGAACTCAGGTCTTCCTGATTCCAGCTCCAGTGCCCTATCCACTGTGACACTTAGCTGACTTCAAGCAACAGCTTTTTGTCAGAATCTTTCCTACTGGTAGCCATCTGAGCTGAGGCTAGGGGTAGTCAAAATAGACAATTGCCCAGGGTACAATTGGCAGGAGTGGAGGTGGGGAGAGAACAAGGAGGGACACTTTATAATATGCATTTATATATGTATGTGAAACTGTGAATGGATATTATGTACAGCTTGCTTGTCCCTCCAAGTATGTAATAAATTCGATATGTAACTTTCAAAGCCGTTCTATTGGTGATTCCTTCTGGCTTTCTTTTTGTTTTCTTCTTATTGTTTTAGAACCCTATCCCTAGCCACGGTCTCTTTTTTTTCCTCCATTGTGAAAATGAAATGAACAGCCTATAACATATATTTACACTGATCAGAATTCTTAAGTCTTAAGCTAGGTGGTGAGCGGATAGAGCACCGGCCCTGAAGTCAGGAGGACCTGAGTTCAAATCCGGCCTCAGACCAAACACTTGACACTAACTGTGTGACCCTGGGCAAGTCCCTTAACCCCAATTGCCCTAAAAAAAAAAAGAATTCTTCAGTCTTTCAATGCTTGTTTTTCTTTACATTGTTGTTAGAATCCGAATATTAGAGGCAATTAGGTATCTGGTAAATGATCTAGTCTGACCTCTCATTTTGCAGATTAGGAAACTGGAGCTCATCAAGTCAATATGAGTCACTCATGTTCACGTAGCCCTTTTAGCAATAGAGTCAGTACCTGAATCAAGGTATTCTGACTTCAAGCCCAGTACTTTCCGTTAAAATACACACGGAAGCTTATTGACCAGGGCACCCAAATGTTTTCTCATGGCTTTATAACCACTAAAAATCAGTCTTTTGCCTAAGCCCACTCTATGATAGAGTTAGAATGTTATTTAGTGGGTCCTTTGAAAGCAAGTCAATAAAATCTTTCCTTTTCCCCAATATTCCTAGAATAGAAATGAGGCCATTCCCCCCTCAGAATATAATTATATTCACTACAAATTTCTAGAAAGAACTCTACAAGATTGTGAGGGAAGGTGGCAGTCTAGTACATCTGGAGACGATGGAGGCAGGAGCTGAGTACTGCGTGAAAGCTCAGACCATCGTGGAAGTTATTGAGAGAAGCAGTACCTTCAACCAGGTGGAATGTATCAGAGCACAAGGTAAAAAATGTCACCACTTGACTGAGATGAGTGGCTGTCTTTTCTGGATGTGTGTTTTAGGAATAATCTAACCACATTTATTTTTCTCTTTCCATAGCCCAGGTCAGACTAATTTTGCTGATCAAATTCAAATTCACCATTTCTAAGGTTCCAACTATGTCCAAGTCACTGTGTTAGATGCTAGGGATATGAAGATTTAAAAAAATGAAGCAGTTCTTGCTGTCAAGGAACTTACATTCTAATAGGAAGGTTATGACATGTATTCAGATGATTATAATTCAAGGTAGATTGTGATGAGGGCAAAGGAGAGATTTTGACAAAGTGTTCTAGGAAACTTTGAGGAGGAAAATTCATTTCATTTCATTTGAGAAAGCCAGAGAAGACTGAGTAACTTTACCATTATGCTAAATCATTGGGTGGAACTTTCAGGATGAGGCAACGCTAAGCAGCTGGTCACTGCTACTCGCTGTGGCTGGCTCTGTAGTCTGGCTTCATGCTTATCGAATGTAGTCTTTGTGAGGTGACCTGGTTAAAAACGAGGTTGGATAGTAGGTACTGAGGTGGTCATTATTTGAAAGGATCTCTCTAGCAATTTCATCTCAATGAGATCCTGTGACATTTAAGGAAGCAGAAGCCACCAGTTTTATTGGTCAAACTTTTGGACAAATGCCAATCAGTGGAAAGAGTGACTGGGTATATTTAGCTACATGGTGAGGCTTTCCATGTTGGTTTATTTCACAAAAAATCAGAGCTGGAAGGAGCAGAGGCAAAGTGGCGCAGTAGAGAGAATTCTGGAATTGGAGTCAGAGCAATTGGGTTTGAATCCTAGCTCTGCCAGTTAAGTGCTTGTGGGATTTTGGACAAATAAATGGGCCCAGATTCTTTATCAGTAAAATGAGGGGACTGAACTAGATGGCATTTATTGTCCCTTCCAGTCAGGGATGTGCTAGCAAATGTTTAACATCTGGCTCTTAAAAAAAAAAGTACACTCAAGGTACTTTTACATTTAATCTGCATTAACATTTTCTCCAACACTTTCTCAAGCCTATCTAGACAATCAATAAAACAATAAATCAAGACCCGATTTATAATTTGCCAACTTCTGAGGTATAAATTCTAACATGAAAATTTTAATAATTGGCTCTTATGAGCTCATTTGAGCTAGTTCCAGCATACCATTTAGAGCGCCCAGCTCTAAATCTATTATCTTTTTTAAAAAATCTTTTTTTTTTTTTAGGCAATTGGGGTTAAATGACTTCCCAGGGTGACACAGCTAGTAAGTGTCTGAGGCCAGATTTGAACTCAGGTCCTCCTAACTCCAGGACTGGTGTCCATTGCATCACCTAGTTGGTTTTTCTAAAGCTGTTATCTTAGGTCTAGCTCATCTAGTGTAGCCTTCCCATTTTCCATATGGGGAAACTGAGCTCTTGAAGGGGAAATGACAAGCCCCACATTATATAAAGGTAGTTAGTGATAGTAACAGAAAAGAGCTCAAGGCACTCAGACCGTTTGTGTTCTTTGCATTGCGTTGATTTGCAAGGTTCATAACAGATCTTCATCTTTTTTTTTCTTTTGCTCTGAATTCAGAAATTTGTTTTTTCTATAATACAAATCAATGACCTTACAAGGTTTCTAGTGGCTTTCACAGAATTTGAAAGTTGGAAGGACCCATTCCATCCAACCCATTCTTGAAAAAAGAATTCCCTATCACATGATACTCCATTGTTTGAAGGCATCTGATAAAGGGGAACTCTTTATGTGCCTTCCCAGGATGACCAGGACACCTACACTGTCACGCCACTTAGCTCTGTTCTTGCTGGCAGCACCTAGCACCTCTCCCTTCCCTTCTAATGGAGTTTCTATCCTGTGTTACCATTTTATCAGGCTCTCTGTTAAAATGAAAAACTAACCCACATACAAATATTGACGATCCTTGGTAGCTTATGTTATCCCTCCCCTTTAACATTGAATTTTAGTAAGACTTTCTGTAAAGTATTTATTGTTGTTCAGTCATGTCCAACTCTCTGTGACCTCCTTTGGGGTCTTCTTGGCAAAGATACTGGAGTGGTTTGCCATTTCCTTCTCCAGCTCATTTGACAGGTGGGGAGACTGAGGCAAAGTAAAGTGACTTGCCCAGGGTCACACAGCTAGTAAGTGTCTGAGACCAGATTTGAACTCAGGAAGAGGAGTCTTCCTGACTTAAAGTTTTGATTGGTTGATTTGACTGAGTTTGGCACTCTGTTGTGCCACCTAGCTGCCCCCTGTAAACTATTCCTTAAGTCAAAGGAATGATTTGAAGTGGAATTTGAAGTGGAATTCCAGTCTCAGAGACATCTCGATTTATTCTGTATAGGTAATTGTCTGCCCCACCCATGAATAAAAGTGGCCTTCGCCAACAGTCTTAGTTACTACTGCTGCTGCTTGAATTGTAGAATGTTCCGGGCTTGGAACAGGAAATGTCTTCAGTAAGCTCTGATGAAAAAAACCTGTCTTTTGTTTCTGTTTCTAGACGAATTCCCTTTGCTGACTATTGTCCTGGTCTCCTCTGCTGGTTTTGTACTGTTTCTAGTAGGTCTGCCTCTATTCATCTGGAAAACGAGCCAGTTGCTTCGATACTCTTGCTGTCCTGTTGTTGTCCTTCCAGACACATTGGTATTTATTTATTTATTTTTTCTTTACAATGGGGCAGGGACTTGGTTTCATCTGGAACATACGTTTGAGGCACATGTATGTTATGAGTCAGCCTGCACACACACAGACAGTAGGGAAAAAAGATGTTTGTGGGACTCCATGTTATCTGATGCTAGATAATGACATGATGCCATGGTACTATTTCTTATATTTCTTTTCTTTTACCTAGAGAATTGTTTGGTTATTGGTCATGATTTTCTGCTGTTTGATTGTGGGTGGTGAGCCTGTGGGCCCCTAATTATTCCCTCTTGCCTTGCTTTGTTTGAATGATTGCTAATTACTTGGAGCTTGGAAATAAGAGAAGATTGTAGTTTATAAAGAAGTTCCCTTTTCTTTTATTTCACTGTCTCCCTAGGATGTGAAGTAATCAGAGAGCAATAATTCAAGTACCTAGGTAGCTGCTGGTGAGCTGAAATTTTGATTTAGGAAAAGATTGCTGGGGTTAGAAAGGAGCTTGGGGAACATCTAGTCTAAAACTCCTCATTTTACAAATGAAGAGAGAGGTCTTTAAAGGTGTAAAGACTTACCTGAGTGCAAAGTCTGACTCTCCATTGTACTAACTGACTAGCGAGAGTAGGAGAACATGGGGTGCAGCAGAAAGGGTGCTATGTTCCAATCCCTGTTCTTCCACTTACTGCCTTTGGATGTTTCTTCCTCTTTCTGTATCTCAGTTCCCTCACCTGTAAAATGGAGGTTGAATTAGCAATTTTCTAAGGTCCTTTCTAGTCCTAACATCTTGTTATATCATATTATATCATAATCTGGTTCTTCTCTCCTTGCACCTTGCCAGGCTTTTTACACCTTACCCCTTTCTCCATGTGATCTGCTATCTAGTGGCATTGCTGAGGCTAGAACAAAACACTCTTGTCTCCTGACTGTCTATTTTCACTGGCTATCCTTCAATGCTCTCCTTCCTCATCTCCATCTCCTGGTTTCCATGACTTTTTTCAGGTTCCGGGTAAAAGTTTACCTTGTGCAAGAAGACTTTCCCAATGCCCCTCTCATGCTTTCCTTTAATTGCCTTCCCACTAAAATTTATCTCTGACTTACCATGTGTCTATCTTGTCTGTGCATAGCTGTTTGCATGTTGTTTCTCCCGTTAGAAGTGAGCTTCTTGAGAGCAGGGGCTATCTTTTGCCTTTTTGTGTATCCATTTTGCTTAGCACAGTAGCTGGTACATAGCCAGTGCTTAATAAATGTTTATTGACGGACTGATTCATTGATTTTGAGTGAATCAGTACTGAGCGCTCTTTGTCAGCATCTAGTTCCATTTGGGTGACAACTGAAGCAGAGCCAGATGGTGTTTGACTTTTGGTTCCTGATCTGAGTAGCTGCAGTATGATTGATACTGTAGGTACAAGGGCATGATTTGGGTAACACCAATGTGTGCACAAGTGGGAAAGGAGGCATGATAGCAGGAAGCAGTTTAAAGATTAACCAGGTAAGCCCTGAAGATTAATTAGTAGATCAAGATGGACCTTATGGGGGACTCTCAATTTAGGTCTCTCTCTGAGAATTACCCATAGCTAATGACACAGTTGTGACTTTATCCTGGAAGAAAATTCATTAATGCTAATGAATGTTCACTTTAAAATGTTTTCCCTTCCAGAAAATAACAGATTCACCTCAGAAGTTAATAAGCTGTAAAAAGGAAGACATTGAACCCTGTGATATCGTTGCACGGGTGATCTATCCAGAAGAGCTTTTTCGTTCATGGATCCAAGAGGCTTTATAGAGGACTCTGGCTGAAATACAGATCAGCAGGACACCAGAAGCAGCCAGAGAAGAGGGCTTCACTTTTAGAAAAGTAAACAAGAGAACCAAGGATAGATAACCTGTGGTCTATTTGCTTGGAACTAGCTGTAGACAGAAATAGCTTCAGGAAGACTCTTACCAGAGATATCCTGGTATCATGGGAGGTTTGTTGGACTAGAGATTGGAAGATCTGGGCTCTAGTCCTGATTCTGCTGCTAAGAAACTATGTGAATATGGGCAAGTTACTTTCATTCTCTGGGCCTCAGTTTTCTCATCTGTAAAATGATGGGATTGGACTATATGACCATATGATTTTATGAAACAGCATTCTGACATGCTAGTGATATGTTGACTTACATGCTAGCCAAGCAAAAACTGGCAAAGGGATCTTCTTCTACTTAACTACCTTCATAAATGCTCTTACCATGAATCCTGGAGAGTTGTGTCCTTTCATAGACATTCCCTACCCTTGACCAATACAGGAGCTGCTTGAATGGTAGCTATGGATATATTGACATCCATTTGGTCTTTTCAGGTATTGAAATATGTTGGTCACAATTTATTAATTTCCAGTCATTGGTATTATCTTTAAAACTTCTTTTCATTGAAAAGGGAATGGTGATTGCCACTATTGTGGGTGCATAAAAGCTGAGAGAACCATTTGGAAGGACCTTTTTGAAATGAAATGCTATGAGGACTTGGAACAGGTCCTGGTGATGGTGGGAACTTGACAAGTGTCCAGGAAAGGGTTAAATGGTTCAGGATAGCAGCTTATATTCTTGCTCTTCCATCCATCACAGGTGCATCTTTCTGACCAGACTGTAAGCTCTTTGAGGGCAGGAATCACATCTTGTTTACATTTTTATATTTTTCAACACCCAGAGCAGGGATCTGCACACAGAATACGCTTAATAAATGTTTATTGGATGGATGAAAGTCTGAATTATTTCCTTTCTCTATGTTGGCTTGCATTATATTTTCCCTTCTTTGAAGAACTTATAATAGGTAGTTTATTTACTTTTCATAGGTTTTAAGCATTTATGGTACACGGAGATTCCCCAACAGCTGGATACTTTAATAAGTACTTTAATTATTTACTTCTTGTACTGCTTTGCAGACCATTTTGTAGACAGTGTGATGTTGAAATTAGGGAGTTTTTGCTCTGCTAAGTGGTAAAACTTGTCAGCAATTGTAGTACTAGGCAAAGATTAGGCTGGATCACATTTGGGAAGTTGTGTGGCATTTTCTCTTAAGGATACCAAACTGTTTGCAAGCACAAAAGCTTTCATCTTTTCTAACACTAACATTCTTCTGGTGATGCTATGCTGCTGAGGCTCACAGAACACTATAACTCTGAAAGAATGACATATCGAAGTAACCCAACAGGTAATGAAGAGAAAAGCCCCACCTAGATGCATATGTAAGTAGAAGTAAGCAAGTTGCAATGTATTATCAGTTATAATGCAGGGCTTGCATATGAAAAATGGCTTAAATTCCATTATTGAGGACTAGAATCAGGAAGACTTGACTTTAAATTCAGCCTCAGACACATACTAGCTATGTGACCTCAGACAAGTCACTTAACTTCTGTTTGCTTCAGTTTCCTCAGCTATAAACTAAGGATCAAAATGGTACCTATGGTCTATGGTTGTTGTGAGGATCAAATGAGATAGTATTTGTAAAATTCTTTGCACAATGCCTGGCACATAGTAGTTGCTAGCTGCATAACTGTTGTTGTTATTATTATACCAGAAGTGGAGGTGGGCTGTCCAGGTGGTAGCAAGAATGAAAGCCAATACATCGACAGCCTGAGTGCCATGCTGGTATCTCAGAGATAATTAGAGAAACAGATGAAGGCCTCCACTGTATTGGGTAGAACTCCCTCAGTGAAGGATTTGTGGAAAGACGTGGAAGAGGTAGAGGGATTGAAATCTGTGTAATTCATCATATTGATGAAATCAGGGATCCATATAATTACAAAAGTGGAAAATAACATATTCTATTATGAGAGAGGCAGGGTGGTGCAATTTTCTAAATCAATATGTGCTCCTCGTGATAAATTTCTATTTGAGTTTGACACCACTGCATCATTAACTCTCTAAGCCTATAAGTTGCAGAGAAGGTGACAGTCTTCATTGGTAAGAGGGAGCTCCTTCTCCTGGGAGGTCCCTATACTAATGAAATCACAGATCCAAGCTCTGTCCTATTTTTATTACAGAGAAAAACATGTACCAAAGGCAGGGTTACTTTCTGGGAACTCTAGCAAACATCCAGGTACCAATAAAACATTTAAAATTAAATTTGTACAAATGAAATGACAACTTTAAAACAAATTCTTTTAGGATTGCACTTAGAAACAAAAAAAATATCTTAGATGAAAGTGTAAGAAGTTTGTTTAATTCCTTATAGTCAATAGTTCAGGCCTCCTCAGCTAAGGCCTCTAAGCTCAGAGTGTCCAGAAGAGGGCAGCCATGATGACAAAGAACCTTGACATTATGCCATATAAGGACTAGTTGAAAGAATTGGGAATGTTTATCCTGGAAGAAAAAAAATGCAGAGAGGAGACAGTTAGTGGTACATGATGATGGTCTTCAAGTATTGGATGGTTGTCCAATAAAAGAGGGTTTAGAATCCTTTTTGTTTGGTTCCACAGGGATGAACTGAGAGGGTAGTTTTTGATGAGGTTGGGATCTAAACCCCAAAAAGGAAAAACCCTGGACTTTCCCACATAGACAAATCTCTAGCATTCGCCTAAGGCTATAATCCCATCAACTGGCCTTTCATTGTGGTTATACTCAGTCTCCTAATTCCCTTACCCTTAACCTAGCCTACCCCTTTCTATGGCCACACTTAATCTTAGCTAGGCTCATTGTCTGGGTCCCAGGAGTCCTGTTCACCCCAGTTTACTGGCCACTCTCATTAAGTTTCGCTCCTAGATCCCTCCCACAGTCTTTCTGTATATAAGGTCCATCTTGTCTCCATTAAGAGGCCCTGACTCCTAAAATCTAGCCACGGCGCAGATTTTCACAATCTAGCCAATGGCCCACAGATGCTCATATTCCTTAAGAGTCTACCTAATATGGCGAATCTTCAATAAACCTTGTTTTTGGCTGAAAGAAGGCTTGGGTTGAATTCTTTGGAACAGGACATGTGTGTCGTGATTTTGGGATTCCAGGACCCCTAACTTCTAGACCTCATTAGTTTTCAAGAGGCAAATTTAGTCTTCACAGAATCACAGAGTTGCTGAAGTGGAAGAGATTTCAGTCACCATTTGGGAACAAGTTGGATAATAATCTTTTCTACAATGTACCTGATAAAAAGTCATCCAGTTTTTTGCTGAAAGATCTATAGTGAGGGAAGCTGGGCTATCTCCAGTCATCCTACTCTACATCTTGCCATTGGTCTCAGATGGCCCTGGAGGAGAAAGTGAGGCTGGTGACTTTGCACTGCTCTCCCTCACTTAAATCCAATTCACTTGCAAGTCTTGGCATCACCTCGCTGATGTCATGGTCCTCTTCCAGAACTGAAGGACAAACAACAACAACAATGAGGGGAAATCTTGGTGTAAGGAAAAAACTTCCTAACTATTGGAGTTATCTAAAAGTAGAATGGGCTGCTTTGGGAGACAATAGAACTTTCTTACCATAGGCCTTTAGGGTGTACTGGAGATATAGGCAGGGATATTGTAAGGCTCAAATGAGATGGTGAATGTAAAGCCCTTTGCAAATCTTAAAATGCTATGTAAATGCCAGTTGTTATTGTTATTGTTATTGTCCTGTAGTCACCAGGCCTCTAGTCTGGTGATGACTTCATTCCTTGAACATCTCTGAGGTGTGCTGGTAAATGTTTAGTAACCAGAAGAGAGGGAAAGGAATGTAAGTGCATACACTTTTTTTTTTAGGATAGGCAGTGGGGGTAAGTGACTTGCCCAGGATCGCACAGCAAGTGTAATGTATCTGAGTCCAGATTTGAACTCAGGTCTTCCTGAATCCAGGGCCGGTGCTCTATCCACTGTGCCACCTAGCTGCCCCCACTTTTAAATTTAATAGAAATTATTAATACTTTCTTAACAGAGGTTTCCAAACTTATTTGGCCCTTTAAAAAAAGCCTAAACTATCTTTACCCCATTTAAAAAATATAATTAAAATGACACATCTTAAATTTAATAATTTATTGTAAATTTATGGGGTTTTTTCCCTGCATTGAAATTTTGATGACACAATGTTGGGTCATGTAACCATACAGTATCATTTTACAAACAAGTCATTACCTGCACATATTCCTGCTGATACATGCACAGCATGCTCGCCTGCCAATACTTGCTTGTTAAGACTCATTGGCAGATTGGATCACTGATCAGTTATAGCTTGCTTTTATTTGGAAAATAATGTAATCACTACAACTTTAACTCTGTTACACAACAGATTAAATATGTACGAATGTTTTTTCAAAATTTTCTTCTTTTTTCCTTATGCTTCCACTGCCCCCCAGTTGCACCAGAGGCTACTACTGCCCCTCTGGATTGCTCCAGTGCCCCTGGGAGCAGTATCGCCCTCTTTGGGAACCTATGGACAATCAACAAAATAATAGATCAAGCCCAGATTTGTAGCTTGATTTCTGAGTTGTAAATATGCATGGGAAAAACTTAATGGGCAGCGAGGTGGTGAATTGGATAAAGCACTGGCCTTGGAATCAGGTAGACTCATCCTTATGAGTTCAAATCTGGCCTCAGATATTTACTCTCTTTGTGACCCTAGGCAAGCAATTTAACTCTGTTTGCCTCAGTTTCTTCATCTGTAAAATGAGCTGGAGAAGGAATGGCAAGCCACTCCATTATACTTGCCAAGAAAACTCCAAGTGGGATCAGGATGAGTCAGATACAATTGAAATGACCTAACAACAACAACAACAACAATTTAACAATTGGCTCTAGATGGTTTGACACGCCCCTGTATAGAGACAGGCCTTTTGACATCCCTTCTGTTACCTTGAGCTATTATGATTTCCTGGGTGTGGGAACTCCCTCCCCCAGAGCAGTAATATGTAAGAGGGTATGTTGTAGATAAGATTCTTTTTTTTTTTTAATGAGGCAATGGGGTTAAGTGACTTGCCCAGGGTCACACAGCTAGTGAGTGTTATGTGTCTGAGGTCAAATTTGAACTCAGGTCCTCTTGACTCCAAGGCAGGAGCTCTATCCACTGAGCCACGTAGCTGCCCCCTGTAGACAGGATTCTTATTCAAGTCTGAATTGGACTAGAGGACCCTGAAGGCCCTTTTCCAACTGGCTCGGTCAGTGAATTTGTGCTGCATCCTGGGATAGTGCATTTCTACATTAGGAAATGATGGTGAGACAGAAAATAGCCAACCTCTGAGAGTTTAGCACTCTCTCTCTGCTTGCTGACCCCAGCACAGGTGTTGTGGTGTAACTGCACTGACAAGTGCTTACTCAAGCAACGGAAATACCCCCAAACAACTGGTGATCTTTGGGTTCCCTAAATTTTGGCAGCTTCCCATGCTGTTGTGTGATATTGAGAGCAATCAATCAGTCAGTCAATCAATAAACACTTATTAAGCACCTACTATGTGCCAAGCATGATGGTAAAGTGCTGGGATTATGGCAGTAACCATTCACTTCACAGGCCCCTCACCGTCACCCCCTTTCTGTGCTGCCAGCCCAAGTTCCTGCGAAGGTGCATGACTGAGCGTGGTGTGAAATTTACTCCCACACACTTGTTTGGGGGTACATAGTTAATTCTGTATCTATCTCTACCAAGTTTCCCTCAGCTTCCTGTATGAATCATTATAGAGCCCAGTCCCTGTGACAAATGAAGGACAGAAAAAAGGGGAAGGTAAAGCTCTTAGAGTTTTCTGGCATTGGCTTTGAGAGAGCAGAAGGACATGCC